CGCTGGACCCCGGCTCGGGTGAGCGGTCCTGGCGGCGGAGCCCTTCGGCCGGCGGCGTTCCGGCGCGGATCTGGACGGCGGTGATGCGGAGGCGTTGCCCCTTGGCGGCGGTGACGGCCCATGGCCTGCGGCGGCCGGCGGCGCTCGGCTGGCCCAGATCTAGGCCCTACGGGCCCGATCTGGGTCGGGGCGGGCCTGCTGGTGGCCGCAGTGGGCTGTTCTCCGGTGGTTTCCGGCGAGCTCCTCGCGACAGGGACGGCGGCTGCTGTGCCGCGACTGCTGCAGCACGACGGCGAAGCTTCACGGGCCCACGCAGGGCCTGGCCGGACAGGGGGTCTGGTGTGCCTCTGCTGCTATGCCCGGTCTGCTACCGCCTAAGCCGGTGGAGGTTGTTCCCTCCCTCGTGGCTGCGGTGCTGCCGGTCCTTGTCTTCGGGTGTCTCGTTTGGATCCGGCCGGCCTCGCTTCGTTGGCCGTGGTGAGACGACGGCGGTGTCCTCGTGACTGTTGGCGCATGTTGGTGGGCGGCGGGTGTGGTGGAGCCGAAGGTTGGTCCTGGGTGGTGGGCGCGAGAGGTCGGGAGAAATCCATGTCGGGTCTTGCCGGCACCAACGCGGTGACGCCTGCGGGCGCCACCATCCTTCTTGAAGGGCGTCGGGTGACCCTCTCCCCCCTCTACCCTCCGTGTACCGGGAGAAATCCTAGGACTCGTCCGGGCAGCAGCGTCGTCATCGTCGCATTCCTTCTTGAAGGTGGTGCTTGGTACACGGCAACTCGGTGGCTTTGAAGCGTGGTGGTTATCTTCGGTGGGCGCAACGATCGCGGTGTGCCGTAGCTTTCGTCGATCCGGCGTTGTTGGCATTTCTTCTCTTATTTTCTCTTGTTATTTCTTTTGGGCGTGCTTGTGCTGTTTGCCCCAGCGTGGATCGAATTGTTGTATCGGGTGGTTGCTATATCAATATAGCGGGGCGTAAGCCTATTTCGGTAATATAGGCTCCAAAACAAGCAGGCTCTTAATAGTCACTCCAAAAGCGACGGCCACCGCATGCCACCACTGGCATCGTGAGTCACGAATTGAGAACCTTTGCTCCTCTCTTGTCAGTTGTCCATGGAGCTTTTTTTTGTTTGAGAGGTGTCCATGGAGCTTTATGGTCACATTAGTGTAGAACGTGTACAGCAAAGGGAGCATGGCTGAGTAAATAACAAGCAGTAAAGATGATCAGATCCGACATACCACCTGTTTTTTTTTAAAGGAAACTTTTCCTTTTGAGCTAAAAGGACTTTCAATATTGACATGCCTTTCAAAATGTAACTTTGTCCATTAGTAGGGCTGGAAAAAAGCTCGAAACTCGCGAGCTAAATGAGTAGCTCGTGACTCGACTCAAATTGACTTGAACACGAAGAATAACGAGTCGAGCCGAGCTTTATTTTAAGATCGTTTATATACCACGAACTGAGTTCACGAGTACTCGTGTAACTCATTAAGCTCGGTATAAAAATCAGCCACCCAACACCAGCTTGCATCCCAGGCCAGTCACATAGGCCAACGCAGGACCCATCCGCAAAACACTAGGCTCGGCCGCCAAGGAGACACACGCCACGATTCCTTTTCTTCCATCTCTAGCGAAATAGCGAGAGACCAGTCTGTCTATTCCCCTCCTGTTTCCTTTGTTTTTGAATCGTGAGTTTACGAGGGCGGCAGTGCCTCATAAAACCACCTCTCGGATGTTACTAACTTGCTTATTATTGTGGTCATATGTGGAACTGTGGTCATGTGTATGTTACTAACTTGCTGATTATTATGGTCATGTACATGTTACTGACTTGTTGATACCACTTACAATTGTTTGTAAACATCATACATGCTTAATATGTACATGTCACATTCCCAATTAATAAATTTTTATCATATTCACAAGGTTTTATGTCCATATCTATAACGAGCTTAACAAGCTAAACATGCTACGAGTCGAGCCAACCTTGGAGTTGAGCTTGTTATAGTAATGAGTCGAGTCGAGCTAGCTCGTTAATGAAACGAGCTCTAGCGAGTTGAGCTGACTCGACTCGGCTCGAATTCTAGCCCTATCCATTAGTTTCTACTACTCTTTCCGTCCCAAATTATTTGTCTTAAATTTGTTATTTGTCTTAATTTTGTCTTTGTTTTATTAAGGTTTGTGTCCTGTTTAGAAAGACGAGACGATGGTGGCTCCCTGAAGATGAAATAAGGTTCTCCCTGTCTAGCCCCCGTCCTGGTGGTGTGTCGAACATCGTTGATGTGCATGTTGAGGTGTGTCTTCGACAGATCTGTCTTTGATAGATTTAATCGGATTTGGTCGTAATTCCTCTACGTTCATGTGTTTTCAGACTAGATCCTTTTGATCTATGACATCGGCGGTTGCTGTTCTAGTGCGTTGATCCTATGGGGGCTTAGCACAACGACTTCATGATTGTCTACTACAACAAGTTTTGCCCGGCTCTGATGAAGGAGGGGCGATGAGGGCGGCGGGCCTTTAACTCGCTTAAGTATTTGTAGTCGTCGCTAGGTGTAATTTTTATTATTCTGATGTTCATTGTACTATCATGATTGAAGATGAATAGATTATTTTTTTTAAAAAAAGTGTAGAGTTACACGTTATAGTGTTAGATACATCTATATCTAAAAAAAATATCTAAGACAAATAATTTGGAACGGAGGTAATACACAATAACCATAAAATCATTATTTTGCATTAGTATTTTCTGATACAAATCCAAGCATACGATTTTCACATATCAAAATATTAATGGGGAAAAAGGTTTACAGTTTGACCAGTACAAGACTGGAGGGACTAGCACCCTTCAAACCATACCGCACACGCTAGTAAATGGACAACACATTTCCAAGTAGTGTCCAAATTGGATGCTCGGGTTTTGGATGAAAGTTACCTAAAAAGGGAACCAACATCTATAAAATTTAAAGATGTTAGAATCTGTTTAGTGGGGCATCATGATGGGCATGAAACCAAACAACCATTGAATCTTTCGAGCAGAACACAGCGACCAAGCTACAGTAAAGATATTTCCAGACACAACATTGCAAACAACCCCGAATAATATCACCCGACGCATCCTAGTGTACACAACGCGTCTGAACACAACAGGTAAGTTGCACGCAAACATTTAACCGACCAAATCGAATTTCAGAGGTCAGGTATGAACCAACAATGAATCTACCACACAACACACAAACCGTGCTTAATGCATCAACTTCAGACCGGTTTCTCAGCATACATTTACGGAAGAACCGAATAATCCTGAATCACCCATGGCTAATGCATGAGATAACTGAAGATGAAAGGCGTATGGAAATGGACGAAATGAATGGGATCATATAAGTGCTGGTGTGACCATAATCTGTCACTGCTCCGCTTGTAGAGCACCAATGGATGACAAGACAGGAAAAGGATGATGCTAAGAGTGCCTTGACCACCTGCCATCATTCGTCCAGTGGAAGACCCGGGGCTTGTACTTTGGAAATGCATCTTCCCAGTCTGGGTTCTCGATCAAGTATTTCCATATCCTACAACAAGAAAGTACAAAGCAAGAATAAACCATGTTAGCTAATCACGAGTTATACCTAGATAAACAGAAAGATTGCACACACATATGATAGAGATGGTTCATGCAATACAGTTTCCGATTTGTAGGATAAAAGGAACACACACCTTCTCTCAGTTTCCACAAAATGAGGTGGTTCTGCAGCTGGAGAGGTGGAGCATTGAAGCAGGACTTCAGAGTCTGAAAGCTGGTTAAGTGAGGATGCCATTTCTGCCCAATCTGGCATCCTATACAAGCAGGACAAGACATGGGTATATCACACGGAACAGTTAGTTAACTAGCAAAGTAAAGAGGCACAAGTACTTGCACTCGTAATGATGTATGCTCTTAATATTTCTTGAACTATCATGCAAGATGTAGTTTACATGCATGAGAACAAAAGGCCCATTATTAAAATAGCCAGAAGGAAGAAAAATCATTTTTGTCCCTGTTAGAGGTGTTCATGACGGAAGCTGGGCCAGGATCAAAGCATAAAAATATGATTTTATTTGTTTATTTTCTGCAAACAATTATATTTTTTATTGGGTGTTAGAATATGATAGTGGGTCGAATCTTGGGCAAATGTGGCCTGCCCATGAATGGTAATAATTCGTACACATGGTGCAATTCGCTGATGAATAAAAAGTGGCAAAACCGCCGTACAGCATTTCATGCATAGGTGGCATTGAACATACATGGAGTATGATGACAACTAGTCAGGCAACAATTTAAAATTGTCCTATTGCATAATGCAAACCTCCATCACTTCTTTCCAATTGGTAGTTACTTCACGTATGGAAATTTTGAAGATCAGACTGAACCAAAAAGCAACCTGTGTGATGTCACTTAATGCCTATGTCATACAGGGCCGAAGCTAGCCAAAACACTCAATGGGCTCATCGAGATATACTACATGAATTCAACAGTAATTGGTCTTTAATAGCAATAATTTACTAAAGGTTTTGCCAAATTTTATTGGGGTCAGTTGACCCTGATGCTACAGTGCCAACTCCGTCCATGTGTCCATGGATTAACAACGTTCAGGAACAGAAGGTCAATAGTTAAGTACAAAGAGGCTGAATATGTAGCTACAAAAATCTTCAATTTATTATGTACAATACATAATGAAATGGATGGGAATGTAAGAGACGGACCAGCAGGCAGGGGCAATTTGGAAAATATCAGCATGTGTGTCGTAAGTCTCCAGTAACTTTCCTCGCCAATTTGGATCATAAGAAGAAACACTCACACGAATTCTTCTGACTATTTCATCAGGACACCTTGAAGTGATGTCAAAGCTTGCAGGAGTAACAACTCCCGATGATGTTTGCATCTGAAGACAGCAGGAGTGTTTGTTTCTAAGAAAACTTACTATGAACTGGGGTATGTTTCAAATCAACAATTTAAATAACAATTCTAGTTTACACAAACTAACTACTCCCTCCGATCCGAATTAATTGACGCAGCCTCTATACAATGTCCATTTTACATTGTATAGAGGCTGCGTCAATTAATTCGGATCGGAGGGAGTAAGTGAAATGTTAGTATGAGATGCAGACAAAATAGAATTTCCCTCTTCTTTTTTCGTTCTTCTTTTAGATTAACCTTCAAAGTTCCTTGTTCCAGAGCTTACAATGTTCTATTTTACAAATGTGGTGTTCATTGGCACCAAAAACTACTAATTGACACTTCAGTAGATTCAGGGGAGAGGATATCCCTTACCACAAATCCACCAACTATGGGTCGTGCATTCCCGTAAGAATCAGTCATAGTGTTGATCCCAAGGACACAGAAAGACCGGAGGTGGAACCGTTGCTGGGATTTATGCAGCACTTCAACTATCTTGCAACAAAGTGGATGGGAGTATCCTTCCTGTATGCTGTGCTTTCCTCCAGAAGAATAGACTACCTGTGGGGCGAATTATGGTAATTAGATGCTTCCTCATGTATATTGTGTCAATCAAAAAATTAAGGGCAGCCCGGTGCACGTAGCTCCCGCTTGTGCAGGGTCAAGAAATCTAAAAGAAATTTAACCACCCAAAAAGTTTTGAATTCAACCTTTGTAGAAGCATCATCGAAGCCACCAATCAGGTGAACCTGTAAGCAAATGCTAGTGAGAACATTCCCAAGGGTGCTTAACTGCTCATTGTATATTTTGAGGGGGAAATACAGGAGAAGAAACCAACATCAAATGGTTCGTCGTCATCACCAAGTAATTCTAGCATCTGTTTGAATCCTCCTTCTACAATCTTTGGGAAGTCCATATGGCTAATGGAAGTCCTGAAATCAATTAATGGAAGATCGGATGAATCAGCAAATGTTATTGTGAGTTGGGAAAATACATGAGTTTTGAGTTTCACAAGAAACCAAAGTCTTACAGGATCAGATAAAACGCTCGCTTCTTTTTCACTTACATTCCAGTCTTGTTGTTGCGAATCGCAACACCCACACATGTAGTCATCTCATCTGTGCCCACTAACTACAGATGCAAAAGAACTGATTAATTCACCAATCGCACTATTTGAACGGTCTACGCCTAACTATGCTTTAATCACCCTAGGAATTAAGGCAAAGTGAGTGAAATGTAGCAGAAAATAATGATGTGCTTTAGTAGGATGCCAGTTTATTCAGGGCCACGAACACAAAACTGATCAGGCAATCAGGTATACAGGTAAAATTGGAAATCCTACATGCTGGCATTCAGAATAACAATCCAATAGCCCTCTGATGATCATACACCAATCCAAACAAATAGTATAACTTGAATAAAGTGATCGCACATCCATAAACTACCAAAGTGAACTCCAAGAGTGCCTGCCCAATCCCCATTTACCAGGAGGCAACACAGGTACGATTTCCACCATTGGGAAACGAAAAGTCGTCGCTGAGGCAGCAAAACACGGAACCGCGCAACTGATTCAAACGGCGCGGATCGGACCAAGGATCCCCAATCCCTGCTCGATCGAAGACCTGAGCACAACGCACCTCGACGCGCGCCGGATCGACCGTGGCGTACTCCCGCTGGAACACGTACACGTGCCTGGGCCCCTCCGGCCCCGACGGGACCCGCCTCTCCGGCGCGGCCCTGAGCCGCTCGGACGCGGCGCGCAGCCCGGGGTTCCCCATGAGCGCCGCCACGAGCTCCCTCCCGCTGCTCCCCTGCAGGAATCGGGAGCCGATAGGGTCGTCACAAGGAGGAGAAAGAGAGAGCACGCGTCCACGTGTAACCGCATGAGCGTGCCGTACGCACCTCGGGGGTGGAGCAGGGGACGGGCTCGCCGTCGACGAGGAGCATTATCGCCGTCGGAGTTGGTGGGGGTGTGTGACCGAGCGAAGCAGAGGTCGCGGAG